TGCCTAGCGATGAAGATGGCATCCCGTTGTAGACCTTTCGGGCATGAACCCGAACTGTTCCTGGGAGATCTGGACCAGCTCCCGCAGTTTCGAGTCGACCAGTCGCTCGTACAACTTCATGGTATGCGCAGTCAACTTGATGCCGCGGTAGTTGGAGCAGTCCATCGCGTCACCCTTCTGCTTGAAGATGGGACGATAGTGCTTGTTCTCCAGGCATCCGGCATCCTTCCTTCGGCAGTCACCGTATTCAGGAAGCGGGTGAGCCACCTCACCCGTGCTCTCCCAGGGCCTTCCAAGCCTCTATGGGTACTCCATCCGGACCAACTGCCTTTCCAACCTTCATCTTCCCAAGTGCACGCCGAACCTCATCCTCTGTCCAGAGTGCGATGGGACCAGCTGTGGCCTCTGCCCGTGAGTTGTTCTCGTGGGAGAACTCCTCGTTCAGAAGACCTCTGAAGTACTCTTCCCACCTCCTCCGAACTTGGGCTGGCTTCCAGTATGGCGCCGTTGTTGCTCTTCACGCTCTTCACCACCCTGATATCTTGAGTAGCCCGATGCCGGGCTTTGGCCAGTCTGAAGACGAACTTCTCTGCGTTTCTGCTTTCCAACTTCTCGTACAAGGCGTCCATCTCCGTGTTCTTTGCCTTGGCGACGGCAGCCTTAGCGAGCCTCTTGCAACTCTTGTAGGCAGCGAGGTCTCGGGGCTCCGGGTCTTCTGCCAGCGCTTGTATGCTTCCTTCTTCTGCTTCACGACTCGCTGGACCTCCTCGTTCCAGAACCACGCTGCCTTGTCTCCTCTGAATCCACCTCGCGTCTCTCCCAGTACCTCCTTGGCGCATCGTAGGATGATCTCAGCTGCAGTGCCCCAAGTCTGCTGCACTGGTCCCTCAGGATCTGGGAGACCAACTTCCATTATCCTTCGCTTGAGGTCACTCTTCTCTGCACGGTGCAACTTCCACCACCTTATTCTCTTCTCGGTTCTTACCTTTGTCTTCTTGGGGAGCTCCATGGCTATGTCTGCCAGGAGTGGCTTGTGCTGGGAAGCCAGCTCCTCGCCAGGGAGTACCTTGACGTCCTTCACAGTTCTTGAGGGATGATCTTCTTACCAGCACATGGTCGATTTCCGTTTGTCTCCCTCCACTGCTGTAGGTTACCTTCTGAGTCTCCCTTTTCGCGAAGAACGTGCTGCAGACTGCCAGATCGTGGGCCGTAGCCAGGTCCAGAACCCTCTCTCCCTCAGCGTTCCTCACTCCTATCCCTCTACCTCCGTGCACCCTTTCCAGGCCTCTTCTTTCACGTGACCATTCAGATCACCTGCTATGGTGAGGTAGTCACCTTCCGGAATCGTTCTGATGGCATCGTCAAGGCTGAGATAGAACTCGTCCTTGTCACTTTCGGGGCATCCGGCTTGCGGTGCGTACACGGAGAGTATGGTCCAGTACCCCTCCTTCGTGTCTATCCTCACAGCCATGATCCGATCGCTGATCCTGTTCACTGCGGAGACATAGTCCTTGAGCGACTCCGCTACCGCTATGGCCACACCGTTCCGCTTGGTGTCTTCTTCCATTGTAGTAGAGTTTGACACCTTCCCCGATTTCCCTGGCCTTAGCACCTTTCCATCGCGTCTCCTGAAGGCATAGGACTTGGATGTTTCCTGCGCGTCATCAGATCAGCAACCTCTCGGGACTTCCAGTTAGCGATCCTACGTTCAGAGTCCCTAATTCGAACTAGCTTCTTTGGCCGAGGCCGTTCACTCCTCGGTAGCCCTCGCATACTGACCACAGAACTCGGGCGGGGGTTCTGCGCGCCACTTCCGGGTGACGTCCTAGCTTTATCACTGATTCTTTTGCGACTTTTAGACATGTTGGTGTGACTGGGGTGTTCATCAGCCGGCCTGTCAACCTGGGCCTGACGCTGGTACTAGAACCATTTTTGCAATTTTTGCAAGGCATGGTTAGCCTCGGCAGGGATCGAACTCGCGGTTTTTGGAGGTGCAGACATGAGTCTAACCTCTTAACCACTCGGCTATCCCTGCCTAATGAAGCCCTTCTTAACCTATCGTAAACCACTGCCTTTAAATGTTGCGTTTACCTTTGAGCAAAAGTTCGTGACTCAGTCTCAGGATTAAAATTGATCGAGGCTTCGCCGACTCCTCGTCGTATGTTATCGCCTTTACAGTCACGCTCTCTCGGTTACGCATGAGCGGGCCTACATTCAGCTCGGGCGTGCGACGTTCTCGACACTGCGCGCAGAGCTGGTCGAAGATATCCCTTGACCATTACTCACCCTGCCCAGTACTTCAATCACACTGACGCAAGGGTACAGCTCCGTTTACCTCGAATGAGCGATCCCTGAAACTCAATACTTTTTTTAGTGCACCCCGAAGTAAAAAATATACCAAGACTTAGTGGGAGAGGAGAGAGATATCAAAGACTGTGAGCAGCACTCTGAGTTCGAATGTTTCGAGAAAACATTTATGGCACATCTGGCCTAGGAGTGTAACGACACACATAACGAATACAAAGATCTATGACAATTCATAAACTCATTCGTAAGAAAGAGAGAATATACAAGGCTGCTATTCAGTGCACATAAGCGGCCATGAACATACAACGTTCATTATTTCCCAGTGATATCTTTGGCATCAAGAAGTCTGGAGGTCTCATGGCTGATGTTATTTGGCTTCCTCCGTTTTGGTTTCCGTAGGAGCTGGCGGCGCTCCACTTCCCACAATTTTGATTGGAATCGCACGTGCAGGTGAGCCTTCCTTAAACAAATTGAGCCACTTCAAAGAGACTGTCTGAGTTTTGCTGGGAAGTTTACCTTTGGTTTCAAGGGAATGGCCTCAATCGTGAGGGTTCCATCACTGGTCAGCTTGCTTGACACTCCTTCCGGTTGAACATTTCGCGGTAAATTGAACTTCCTAAAAACAGCTGAATTATTCCGTAAAATCGATAGCATTCTCAAACCTGTAAACAAGGAAAATGTTGACCAGAGCTGCTTCTTTACAACCTATTATCCGACTTCCTTTTGAAGGTAGTCAATGCGCTTAATAAGACATGCTTCAGAGGGGTGCTTTTTTCTGCCTCCTTTCCCCTTTTTTTCGTCCTATTTTTCCACGAAGAGACGAGGTTAGATAAGATTGCAATGCAAACACCACCCATTATATGAGTTTTGTACTGAAAAAGCAGCTCTTTAGAAATAAGGGTAGAGATGGTCGTAGCAGGGAGGAAGAAAAAGCCATTAGAAACGGCAGAATATCAGTATCAGAATCCGAGAATTGGGGCCCCTTCCTTGCCCGTTGATTTTCGCATTGATGCTACTCTGAACGGTGCTTCTCTATTCAGCGTTAATGCTCTCTCGGCTAATGGCTCGGCTCGGCCGATAAACGGCTAGATTCATACAGCGAGAGGGAGGCGTCCCGCGCCGATTGCGCCGCGGAGAAGTTGCTAGATCGTCGGGGCATATCCTTTGCACACTGGTAGGGTTGCTTCTGTAGCCGACACCAAGATGATATAATCACTTTACTGGCTAACGTTTCGGCCGTGTCGCCGTCGTCAGATATCCTTTGCTGCGAGTGGCATGTTGGTACTCACCTTCAGGGGGTTCGCTTCTCTTTCCACTAGGTAAGTTTACCCTTCCTCAACCTTCGACCTTATCGTGGATTCCTCCTTTGAGGTGGCCTGTGCACGCCCATTCACCATCACAATCCCTTATACACCAGGGAAGAGTCTAGTGTAAAGTCAATGGTGACCGTGACCCGTATCGCCGTCTACCTCACAACCCATTCACACGGAATCACTACAACCAGTAGGAATGCGTATAGTCTATGATTCTCGTCCAAAGGTGGCTGTTATGCAAGAAGTCGTATAGTGTGCATTGAAGTGTTTAATCCGCGGCAATTGCCATGCTGTATTCCAGACGCATCTGCATGCGCATTGTAATCCATATGTTCGTCATTACTAGGAGATAAAACATTTATAACTATACTTTCTTCTCTATCGTTTTTCGATGCAGAAGATTCACGGAGGCGGATCTGATGAAGTGTAACCTCGTTTTCGATTATGTCGAATGGTTCTTCTTCGAAAAAGCACTATTCGATGGGAAGCGTGTACGCTACGCTTCTACCATAAACTGGAACCGATCCTAAAGGCATAACTAAGGCAGTGGTCGCATGAATGATTGCCTTCGGTCTATAACATAGACCCTTAGAGCATGTGGCACTCCCAAGCATGGAAATCGCCCGACAAGGACACTAGGACCTTGCAAAGCTAGCTGCAGCAGCTGCAATGTCGTCCGTAGTAAGGCATTGTTTGAAAGCCTCTCATCTGTTGCGCTCTCGCCTGATAATCTCCTCTCCGCGCGCACTCTCTCACTGTCCTAGTACAACCGCATAACGAAGGTGAGCAATACATTAACTCAAGCGTTTTGAAGAGATTATTTTCTTTCCTTTATTGCCAGGTTTATTTCGCCCCAATATTTTATATTGTGCAAGAGCCACATCTGTCCAGTTCTGGTGCATGCCTTTAAGGAAATCGATGTTTTATCAGAGATTAGACCCAATGTTCAAAATGTTATTTGCGAATGGCCATGTCTTTATAGATCCTTCGATCGTTGCAATTCGCTCATTACGAGTTTACACTCCTAAATAATCCCACTGCATTATGTGTGAGTGTAAACTCGTAATGTGTGTATTCCGGTTGAGAAATTACGACTGCACTCTTACTTAGGATTTTGTGAAAAACTAGGCGGCACGTCCTTTTCAGATGCATTTGAGTGTCAGTCAAAAAAGGCTGACAGGGTAGAGCCTGGAACTCCGCCCACTTTTTTTGCCGAAACCGTCATCGAAATGGAAATGATTTTTTAATGCTTCCCCAAGTTTTTCGCCGTCAAAAAACCCGTCAAATACGACTCCTCCACCTCTCCCACAGCAGTGATGATGCAGGCGAATGAGAATGAAAAGCTTGGTCAACTTGCTAGGGTTCAATCCGATGGCTATGTAGATGAGATGTGGTGTCCAGTAGCCAGCAAAACCTCCGTTCGTTCATCACCCTTCAAGGAGTGGAGATTCATCTATTATATAATGTGAGAGGGAACACGAGATAGAGCGGGACACTAAACACTGTTGCATAAGGTCGACTTTGACCTAGATACGATCGAATTTCTTCTTTAAGCGGGCTTATTGTTGATGCGATTGATAAAAAATCTCTTGCTTTTCTATCACGCCGTGCAAACCAAATACGCGATAGCATTATTACTTCTCGTGAAAACTACATGCGTTTTCATCTCATTTGCTTCTTGTACGTCCTCTACACTTCCATTTGTACAGTTTAAAAAATGTATTCGTATAAAAATGATCATGAGCAACGTAAAAGGTTGGCCCACCCCGAACGACAGCTCCCGAAACGCACTAGTGGTGGCCGTCGTTAGGATTGTAGGCGAAAGTCAGCCGCAATGAATACCCTCTGCTGAAAACCAGATGCGCGCCGAGTGCTGACACCAGACAACGCAAGTGATGACGGACACCAAGTGAATCTGGCTACTAGCGGTCCATAGTGATAGCTGATAGTTGGGAAATGATAGTTGCTATTAGTGACAACTGGTAGGATACAAGTGCAATCGGAAAGGAACT